GCCCAAGGTGACAGACAGATAGTCCCCTCAGGGAAGTTCATCTTATGGCACTGACAGAGGTGAAGAAAGCCTCTTAATACATTGGGTGGAGGTGGCACGTGTCCCTTCCACCCACATGCCATTGGCCAAAGACCGTCACATAGCCAAGTCCAAAGTTGCTAGGTAGGGAAATACACTCTGTCCATGATAAGGTTCTGGCAAAGATATAGATCCAAGGAGAGCTGAAAAATTGGAGTTGATATGCCCCAAAATGGGAACATCTATCATCCTGTTTAAAGATACTTTGGACTGGGCTTCCCTGGTGGCGCAGTCCGCCTGCCGATGCAGGGGACACGGGTTCGCGCCCCGGTCTGGGAAGATCCCACATGCCGCGGAGCGGCTGGGCCCGTGAGCCATGGCCGCTGGGCCTGCGCTTCCGGAGCCCGTGCTCCGCAACGGGAGAGGCCACAACAGGGAGAGGCCCACGTACCGCAAAAAAAAAAAAAAAAAAAAAGATACTTTGGACTAACAGGTATGTTTTAATGGTGTAAGTTTTATACTTGCTGGTATAAAGGTGATTGGACTCTGAAAAGGGTAATAATATCCTTCACTTATAGCGTAACACTGAATATAACTTTGGACATGTTAAATCCTGGAAGGCTTAGGCATATCCAGGCCAACAGCGATTTATTGAGCAAGTAGATTGGTCCGTTGGTGGATTTTCCAAAACTTAAGGCTTAGAGATCTTGGGCTATAAACCCCCGTATAATAGATGAGGAAAGAATGCCCTGGAGAGGTCAGATAAAATGACCGGCCATAATTACAGAGCTTGTCACTTCCTGTTCTGTTTCCTCTCTTCTGGTGGACCGTGTTTTGTTTTTTTTTTTAATTTTTTAAATTCAACTAGAGTGGATTTACAATGTTGTGTTACTTTCTGGTGTACAGCAAAGTGATTTTATATATATATACTTTTTCATATTTTTTTCATTACAGTTTATCACAGGATACTGACTGTAGTTCCCTGTGCTATACGTTTCATATTCTTTTCCATTATGGTTTATCATAGTATATCGAATATAGTTCCCTGTGCTATACAGTAGGACCTTGTCGATTATCTATTTTATATATAATAGTGTGTATCTGCTAATCCCAAACTCCTAATCTATCCCTCCCCCACCCCCCTTTACCCTTTGGTAACCATAAATTTGTTTTCTATGTGAGTCTGTTTCGGTTTTGTAAGTAAGTTCATTTGTCTCATATTTTAGATTTCACATATAAGTGATACTATTGCATTGGGTGGAGGTGGCACGTGTCCCTGGTGGTATTTGGACCCTGTGTTTTGAATTCTGTTCTAAAGGCCAGTGCTGTCCAATAGAACTTTCAGTGATGACGTTGGTGCTCTATTTTACACTATCTAATATGGCAGACACAAGCTATGTGTGGTTTGGGGGTATTTGAAATGTGGCTAGTGTCATTGAGGAACTCAATTTCTAATTCTCTTGAACTCAATTTAAACTTAAATTTAAATCACCATTTTTCTTTAGTGACTCCTGAGTTGGACAGGGCAGCTCCAGCCAATGCTGGGACTGAGGATTAAGATGCTAAAACCACTCTAATTCAGGGGCTCCCAAATGGAATATCAGATTTCAAAGGAAATGGATCTCAGATAAATAGTACTACCACATTGTTGAAGCAAGTAAGAGACCCCTGTTTTGTCGGTCAAAGCAAGTCACGTGGCCACATGTAAGGTCCATAGGAGCGGGCAGTATTATCCTTCCATGGATGAAAGTCAGGTATAAAATAGAATTTTCTTTCTTCTTTCCCTTCCCCCTCCTCTCTCTTCCTCTTCCTCTTCCTCCTTCTCATCCTTTTCATTGTCTCCTTCAAATGCACTTAACTGAAAACATTCAGTCCATTCTTCTGGTGGTAGAAATTAAATGTTAGAGTACTTTGGGGCTTCTTGATTGCACACCTCAGCCATTGCTGCCTTCTCATCATCTTTGATGCCAGCAGCATCACGTCCAGCTCTTTCTGGTACCTTTGTAAGCCCTCCTGGCACACACACGTTCATTGCATGTGGCTTGGTGCAGGGAACTCTGGAGCCACCACAGCACTGTGTTTTGGGCGCCCCAGGCCCTCACATGGAGGCTCTCTGTGACCTTTGCTCTGTGACCTAAAGCTACATGATATATCTGCGTCCAACCTGCCTGTACCCGACTTAAGTTTTGACCCTGGGAAGGGCAAGGGGAAAGTCGCTTTCTCAGAGATTCCCTCTGTAGTAGTCAGCTTAGACTCAGTGATGCTGCAGGAACAAACACTCGCCAAACCTCTGACAACAACAAAGGTGTTGCTTTTCATTCCAGTTGGATCACCACGACTGTGATCCGTAGCAGCCCCTACCTGGCTCATTGCTGGTCTCATGGCAGAGTGAAAAAAGAAGGGGGTAGGATCTCTAAATGACTCTTAAAACTTCTGCTCTGAAGTGACAAAAATCACTTCTGTGCGTATTCTCTGTCCAAGGAAAATCACATGATGGATTTTGACCTCAAAGAGAAGAGGAAGTATAATCCCTTCCTGTAGGGAAGGCAGTGACCGTTTTGAAGAGTGATAAAATCTGCACACTCCTCGTCTACTCTTCATCTCCCTCTCTCCCCTCCCACTCCCCTATCATCTTGTTCAACACCCCACAGCGTGTGGGTTCTTTATCTAGAATAGGAAGGATAGGATATTCTTCAAACTCTGCTATTAATGGCGTAGACTATTAACATTCCAAAGCCCATGGTCTTGAAACTGCAAACCCCTTTCTTTTAAAGCCCTGCTCTCTCACATGTGTTTCTGAAGCCTGCTCTGAAAGATCAAAAGAGTAGTCTCCACGCTCCTTGCTCTTTTTTTTTTCTGCACTGTCATCCCCTCCCTGGGGTAGGAAGCAGAAAAAGCCCCGGCTGAATGGAGGAAAAGCTCATAGGAGAACAGAACTTTGTGAAGAAACCACCAGTTAATAAACTATTATTGGACCACACTCTAGCAGGGTAGGCTGTCTTTTGTGGAGAACTGAACTGAAATATCTCAGAATTGAAGGCAGGGTCTGGCATGATATTGGAGCGGCCTGCCAGAGTTATGTGCTGTCCAGTACAGCATCCCCTGGCCACATGGGGCTATGAAGCCCTTAAAATGTGGCTAGGGTGATTGAGGAACTACATTTTAAATATTATTGAATTTTAATTTCAATAGCCATGTGTAGTTGGTGGCTACTGTATTGGACAGTGAGGTTCTAGACGTTACCAGAGACAGTGCTACTAAAAGTCAGCCAGTGCCCTTGATGCCTCACTATTATTTATACATATGAAAACGTGCTGTGCCTTGGTTTTTTAAAAAAAAAAATCTCAAAACGAAAATAACTTCAGTTTGTATAAAAATTAAGTTGATATTATAGACATAACACAGTTGGTTGAAAGCAAATAATGCTTTCACCTATTAATTGGCTAGAGCTGCTGACCTAATAAGCTGAGGCTAAATTCACAACTAATTAAAGATTTCACGTTCGTTCAGCCAAGACATGCCTCAAACCATCTTTTTTTGTTGTTCAGCTGGCCAGCAAGATACTTAGAACCATATTTGGGACATCTTGCAACTATAATCAACGTATGCAACATATCCCGTTTCAAAAAAGTTCTTTCATTTATCACATTAGTACTTCTGTTGTAGGAATAGCATTTTTCTCTATTGCACTCACAATAATCATATTTGTAGTAAATGAAGATGACAACGTATTACATAGAACTTTAGATGTTATTTGATTGTTGGTAATTTAGCAAATAGTTCTCTAACTTTGCTATTTCTCATGCAGTATTATTTCTCTATTAGAGATGAGAAAACTGAGGCTTAGGGAGGGTGTGCATTTTTCCCCAAGGTTATATAATTGGTATTTGGAATTCTAATGTAAACTCATATCGGTTCGATCCAAAGACCCTACCACGCAACAACACTGCTCTTACTTGGTAGATCATGATGAAACCTAACTGCAATCACCTTTGTTTTCTTAAGGATAGAGGCTGCAGAAAGTCAACGAGCTCTTTTCAAGAGCCAACTGAGGTCAATGGGCTGCCCCTGTGTAGGACGCTGTGTAGGACGCTGCAGGCGGGTCACAGCTGATGACCCAGCGGTGGAAGGGAAATGAGGCTGGAATGTAAGCCACACAAGAAAGTTGTCCTGGTCAAATTCGGCCCGTGATTACAATGCCACTATCATTTTATTGGCTTCTGGTTTACCTACTAGGTTTGGTGAAAAGCGAGGATCAAATTTCTGGGATGCAAACTATGCCTGGTTCAAAATCTGACCATCAACCCCTGTGCCCCAAGCTTAACCCCGCCCCTCAATGTTAATCAGGTGCAACTTTATGAGCCACGTTCCTGCTGGCATAACTCCTCCTGTGAATTCAAAGCAGCGATGCCTCCCGTTCACTTAAAATACACACAGGTGGTTGCCAGAAGAGACGAGGGTGGAGGGGTTGCGGGCGAAAGAGGTGAAGGGGATTAAGAGGTTCAAACCTCCAGTTATATAATAAGTCACGGGGATGTAATAAACAGCATAAGGGATATGGTCAGTAATATTGTAACAACTTGTGTGGGGACATATGGTTACTAGACTTATGGTGGTGATCATTTCATAATGTATGCAGATGTCACATCATTATGTAGTACACCTGAAACTAATATGATCTTGTACGTCACCTGTATTTCATTTTAGAAAGAGACAATGGAAGACAGATGCTCTTAATGTGCCGTTGTATTCTCGGTTCCACTTTATTTCTAAAGCAGGAAAACCTTTCCCTTCCTAGAACGCTAAGGGCAAAGCCGCCGGGGACGCCGCCTCCGCCCACCTCCGCGCCCCGCCGCACGTGGAAACTTCGGGCAGAGGGAAGGTGGGCGCCGGGCGCGGGACTACAAGTCCCAGAATGCACGGCGCCCTCCGCACAGGCGCAGCGGGGACCCCCCGGCCGCCGGCCAGCCAGCCTGCGGAGACCCGGGTCCCGCGCCGGAGCTGGGCTGGGGGCAAGCAGCCGGGGCGGACCCGGCGGCGCCCAGGGCGGCCCGGGCGTTGGGATGAAGGCGCCGCGGCGCGCGTGAGGAGGATGCGGCAGCCGGCGCCGCGGCGGCAGGGGGAGTAGGCGGTGGAGCCCCCGGGAGGGAGGCGCGCTCGGGGCCAGACGGCTCCGGAGGCTCCGCAGTGCCGCCGCCGTCGCCCGGGAGGCTCCGCGCGGGAGCCATGTAACCCTGCGGCGGGCTCCGGGCTGCTCCGTCCTCCCCAGCTCCCGGGATAGCGCGCCAGCGGGACCACGATGAAGAAGCAGTTTAACCGCATGCGCCAGCTGGCCAACCAGACGGTGGGCAGGTAGGTCACCCGCTGGCCGCCGCGGGCCGGGGTGCGCTGCGAGCCTGCATCCGCCGGGCGCGCAGGTGATGGAGCGGGCGCGCCGGCCTCCGGCCCTCCGCCCTTCGCTCCCTGCCGGCCCTCGCCCCCTCGGGGCGCCGCTCGCGGGCGCAAGCCCTCCTCCCTGAACTTCCCGGACCCCTCCTCATGCTCTGCCCGCTGCTCCGGGGCTCCGGTTGCCAAGCGCAAACTGTGACGCATCCTCTACCAGCGTCCCCAGCTGCCCCTTCACCTCGTCCTCCCTGCCTTTCCCCGGGACTCCCTTCTCCCTCTGGCCCCAGAGCTTCCTGGAAACAGGTGTTCGCGCTGATGGCGCTGGAGGCCGCCGAACCGCGGTCTCCCTGCGAAGATGCTTTCCCCTGGGCCGAGTTCGGGGCTCCTCGGGGGTCCGGGGGAGTGTTGGGCCTGGTCGGCTTGGCAGAGCTGAGCCTGCCCCTCCTGCCGTGTTTGTTTCCTGGGGCTCCGACCGAATCCAGAGAGATTCTGGATCTCTCTCCTGGCCGGGTTTGTCGAGGCGTTAGGTGGTGGAGAGAGCATCTGTAGGGGTGGGGCGAGCGGGTGCAGGGCAGGTGCTGGTGGAATGGCGCTGCTTGTCGGCTTGGTTCTGCGACAGGTTTCAGCGCAGGGAGGGAGGGAGGCTGCGGAAAGGGAGGCCCAGCTTCTCTGGAAGATGAGTTAAGCAGAAGATCACAGCCAGGTAGGGGAGGGGGACCGAGGCCTCACAGTCGGGAAGAGCCGGGCCCTGGGACGCTACGAGACCCAGCCGGCTGTGGCTGTCATCGCGGTGAAAATGGGCTACATCTGGGCTAGTGTCTTCAGAACATGCTCCGCGGGGTGCCAGCCTCTGTTGATGTTACAGAAGGGTTCTGGTGGTTCTCTTCCAAAGCTCGACAGGCTCTGCACACAGGGTGGTTAGGTAGAGGGGATTTTTCGTGGAACTTATGTCCCTGGGGAGGGATTTCTGTTGCTGCTGTGGTCAAGGAATGCAGGCGTTCCCTACTAAGGCCGGCGGCAGAAAGCAGAGAACCCAGCCTTGGGTGCGGTTCAAGTGCGAGCTCAACACATCGAGGGCCCTCTGCTAGGTTTACCAAGAAACCCAATACCTTTCTTGGGTGGGAAATGGAGCCCGAACTGGCATTTGGTAGGGCGGGAGTGGGGACCTAACAGGGGACACTGAATGCCCATGTAAGCATACTGCCCTAATTACGGTGGGCATTGGAGGGCAGGGGATGTGGTGGCTTCGTATGCTTCCAGGGACGCCAGATGGTTTCCAAGTAACCATGTCTAAAATTGACTTGGATGCATTTTCCTTTCCCAAACACATGTGCTTTCACATGGGGGAGAATTTATGAATAGCAGAGTCAGATTAGCCCAGATTTCTGGCATGGCATTGCCACAGATATAAGCTTCACACAGGCTGCCTTTGGATATGTTGGACGCGGAAACAGTGTTTTCCTTTCTGGGTTGTTTAGCAGATGACAGTTGAGTTGACATGTCTTTGGTGACTTGACTACTGCATCACTCTGCTGGCTGGCCTCTGTCATCAGGTCATCGCAGCAGACCAGCCACGTGACCAAGCGGCCCCTGACCGTAGACTTGGATTGCCCTTCTCACTTGGTCCTGGGGTGTCACTTTGGTGCTGGAAGCGAAATGGTAACAAGGTGTTCACGCTTTCTCCCTGGCGCCCCTGAAACACAGCTCTTTCTCTCTTCAGGACTTGTTTTGAAGTGGTAAGATTTACGAGCCTTGGGCATAAAACCTGATTTCCACCCTCATCCATGGATGTAATGACCAAGGGAAAGGGGGAGAAGTTGGGTTTCAGAATAGGTACCAGGTGGTCTTACTAATTTGAAAGCACGTTCTTGGAAGTCCACGCAGCTGGTCGCTAAGAGGTACTTTCCACTTGTTTATGGAGTCTCTGGTGGATGCTGGCGTGTGGATGCATTCTGGCTCGTCATCAGATGGCATCCGTGGTGTCCTGCACCGGGTAAAGTGGGGGCCAGCCCACTCTTTTTTTTTTTTTTTTTTTTTTTTTTTTTTTTGCGGTGCGCGGGCCTCTCACTGTTGTGGCCTCTCCCGTTGTGGAGCACAGGCTCCGGACGCGCAGGCTCAGCGGCCATGGCTCACAGGCCCAGCTGCTCCGCGGTATGTGGGATCTTCCCGGACCGGGGCACGAACCCGTGTCCCCTGCATCGGCAGGCGGACTCTCAACCACTGTGCCACCAGGAAAGCCCCTAGCCCACTCTTGAGTGTATCACTAGGTTGTATCCATTTTGGTGACATTCTGAGTGAACCTTTTAGAGCAAAAACCAATTTGTGCCGCTTTGCTGCTTGAAAGCCTCCAGGGGCGTCTCAGTGCATCAAGCGCCCCAAGTCTTTCCAGGGGTCTACAAGACCCTGTCTGACTTGACCCCCTCCTTGTCTTTCCACACTCCTTCTGTTCTGCCCACCCGCCTGCCTGCCCCTCCTCCACGGTGCTCCAGCCACGATAGGCTTCCTTGCCCCAAACACACCAAGCTCATTTCCATGTAGGGGCTTTGTTCGAGCTGTTTCCCACTTTCCCTGCCCGGCTGAGGGTCTGCTCTTCCCATATTGCCTTTTCCTCATCATCCAGGTCTTTAGCTGAGAGGCCCCCCTTCCTCCTTCACGGGCCCGCCCATCATCCTATTCGTTTTTGTCACAGCACTCATCAATCACTCTTTGAAATGCTCTTAGTTTTCTTTTTTTTGACTTCTTACAAATACAGTACCACAGAATGTATAGATCGCCACTATATGCTCACTGTATATAGCACAGTGCCTTGTAGGCAGTTGGTGCTCAGTTCATGTTTACTGACAAGGTTAAAAGAGTTTACCGTAGGGTCCATGCAGGTAAATAAAAGGGGCAGCCTTTACTTTGTCTTACCGAGAATGTAGTGAGGCATGATGCTAACATTGCTTCTTAATTTCTTGAATCCGTGGAAGCAATAGGATTGGACGCTTGGAATTTAGGTGTGGGGTTGGTGGACCACCTAGTGGCGTGGCTTTAACAAGCCGCTGGATTCTTGTCCGTCTTTGAGGGAAGGCTGAGAGGTGGGCTGGAGCGCTGCCCTTCCTCACGGCTCTTCACCCAGCTCGCCATCCAAAAGTTGCAGGTTTTGGAGGTCTTCTGAATATAAAACCTCTGGAGGTCAGATCCAGTCCCTTTAACAACGTAGGAATTGCTATGCTTACACGTACTCGGTGGAGCTAATAGTATATTTCCTCTTGAAGTGCTCACCTCTCCCTGGAGAGGGTGCCAGCAACTGGCAAGAGTTTCAAACCCACTGCACTTAACTGGGAAAAGTTTCATCTCCTCCTTGGCCTGCTTCTCCCGTCTTTGCACACATTCCTTCTGCTTTGGACTCTCTCTGTCCTTTCACTTCAGCTCATCCTCTGGGAAGCGTCCCTGGCCCTTCAAGACTGGACCACCGTGTGCCTAATGGTTCCAGCTAGCACTGGCTTTCGAGTGCGATAGATCTGGTTGGTTGGTTACCGACTACGGGATCTTGAGCTGAAATCTGCACCTCAGTCTGCTCATCTGCAAAATGGGCATAACAAGAGTTGCACTGTGGTCATGTAATAGGGAAGACCCTTTGTGTTCTATTACAAGTCAATCGCTAAAGGGATGTTGCCTATAAGCTTAAATTACACATAATGGCCCATCTCTGGGAACCCTGCCTCCCAGGTCATGAGCATTAAGCTAAAATACCTTTGTTTAGCTCACAGGAAACATCCTCACCAGGCCCACCTGTGAATGACTGCCGGGAGGAAGAAATTAACACCTCCCTTCCGGAGGCTGACGGGAACCAGGAAGTGTTTGGCTTTATCCCCTCCCCTTTTCGTATAAAAGAAGCCTGAATTCTAACTGAGGCAAGACAGTTCTTTGGGGCACGAGTCCACCGTCTTCTGGGTCTGCTGGCTTTCGGAATAAAGTCATTATTCCCTGCCCCATCAACTCGCCTCTCGATTTATTGGCCTGTCATGCGGCGAGTAGCACGAGCTTGGACTCGGTAACAGTAATGTGGTCATTGTGGCAATGAGGACATGAGATTACCCGTGAAAAGCACCCAACACCGTGCTCAGCACTAGGGCATGCTCCATAAATAGTAGCTAAAAGTATCTTTGGGCATATGCTATAACTGTTAACTGGGTTGTATGCACGTGGCATTCGTTCATTCTTTCCTTTTTTCAGTAGGTGCTTATTGGATGCCTGCTGTGTGCCAGGCTCTGCGCTGGTTCAGGGCTTCTTGCAGTGCAGGGTAAACAAAATCCCTGTTTTTCTCTTGGAATCTGTGTCCGCAAGGCATGCATTGTTTTTGTCTCGTCTTGTTTACCTTTCCCACTAGACTTTAAGCTCCTCGAAGGCAGGGACAACTGTCCTAATGCTTGGTGTATAGTCTGTTCTCTGAAATTCGTTGGCAGCTGAAGGCATGAGTGAGCAAGGGATCCCTGCATCATAGACAGAGATGCAAGAGGCTCCTGACACCCGGCCTCTTTGTCTATCGGCTGCTGGGGTGAGAGGCATCCTGAAAGGCATAGAGTATTTTTCTTGCAAGTGGTGTTTAGTTTGTGTTGGGTGGAATTGGTTGGTTGGTCTCCCTGAGCTGAGATTTAGAGACCTGCTAAGTGACCGAGAAAATGGAAGTAAAACTGACACTTTGACCTGGGGAGGAGGAGGTTTTTTTTTTTTTCAATCTGCACAGTCAGGGTCACAGTAGCCCTTGCCTCAGAAGACTGTTAAGAGTTAAAGGGAGCCTGGCTTACACCAGGTGCCCAAGGAATGGTCGGTGAGGTTCCTTGTCATTTTCTGCTTCTTGCCCATTCAGTTCTCCAAAAACGCTGGCCTCGCAAGTGTAAGGGGCTTCTTAGATTCCCAGGGCCGCTGCCCAGTGGTGGCCGTCAGTGGGCTCTGTGCTCTCGTGCAAAACGGGGGACATTCAA